TACTGCAGTAGTTCCAGGACTGACATTGCAAGATTCTCTCCTCTCCCACTGCGTCCGAAGCATTAACGTGCCAGGAAGCGGGAACTGAGACCTTCATTAGGGATTCCCTGGGTGGCCTCAGGTGGGGAGGGTGACCTGCGTGTGGTCCTGTTTTCGTGCCCTGCCTCTTCTGGGTAAACGCCTCTGCTAATCTCCCCTTGCCCGGGCTGCGGGTCAGGTTTCGGGGCCCCAGGCAGATGTTGTCCAGAGTAGCCCTGTTTCCTTAATCCTCAGGGCTCCAGAAATTGTCCTTAGAAGAAAGAACAACAGACCCGCTGAGGTCACCATCTGTGCAGTCTTGATTTGTAAATGCTCATGAGGGTGGCAGAAAACAGGTCTCTATAGTAATGGCTGAGGAAGGGGCTGCCTGTGCTTGCGTGTGTGCATGTGTCTGTGTGTGCACACGCACACACAGGGAGGAGGAATTGTCCAAGACCCTTATTCCTAGACTTTTCTTTTCTACCCTGATGAGCTATTAATTGATACTCATTGCTGCCTTGTTATTCCAGAGACAATTAGCTACTGTTCCTAACTGGAGTCATGGGGACATTTTCTAAAGAGATTCGTTTGCCTCTGCCCACCCACACCTGTCTATCTCCTGGGACACAAGGAAATGTTACAGAACACAGAGTCCCAGAGAGGAGAAAAACTGAACAAAGGGGTCTCTCCGGGAAGCTCAGATTCTCAGCAAATAGACAAGGGCAGAGCCTGAATGAGCAAGGACCCAGTGCACGGAAAGTTATAAAAACGTCAGCTATAGCTGGGCGCAGTGGCTCACGCCTGTAATCCCAACACTTTGGGAGGCCAAGGCAGGAGGATCACTTGAGGTCAGGAGTTCGAGACCAGCCTGGCCAATGTGGTGAAACCCCCTCTCTACTAAAATACAATCCCTCTAGAAAAGTTTGACGGTTTCTTATAAAGTTAAATATACACTTCCCATATGACCCAGCCATCGCATTCCTAGGTGTTACCCTAGAGATGTGAAAATTTATCACCCACATGAAAGCCTGCATGAAAATATTTATAACAGCTTTATTCCTAATAATCTCCAAACACAGAAGATGTTCCAGAACCTAATGTCCTTGGACTGATGAATGGCTAAACAGGCCGTAGTTCATCCACATGATGGAATACTACTTAATAATAAAAAGGAACTAACTCCGGGTTCACACAGTAGCATGAATGGATCTCCAGTGTGTTCTACTGAGGGAAGGAAGCCAGGCTGGGCACAGTGGCTTACGCCTGTAATCCCAGCAATTTGGGAGGCCAAGGTGGGCAGATTGCTTGAGGTCAGGTTGACCAGCCTGGCCAACATAGTGAAAACTCATCTCTACTAAAAATACAAAAATTAGCCGAGTGTGGTGGCGGGTGCCTGTAATCCCAGCTACTTGGGAGGCTGAGGCAGGAGAATCACTTGAAACCGGAAGGTGGAGGTTGCAGTGAGTTGAGATTGTGCCACTGCACTCCAGCGTGGGTGACAGAGTGAGATTCCAACTCAAAAATAAAATAAAATAAAACAAAACAAAATAGTAAGATAAAAAATAAAAATAAAAAGTAGCAAATGTGCATGTGGGCGGAGAATGTACACACTTATATATGCGTGTGCTTCTGGAACAGCACAGGAAATGGAATGAACAATTGATAAGAGACTAAACCTTGGGGTTAACAGACTGGGGTCCCCATCCCAACTCCCACACCCTCTCCCTGTGGTCCTTCCGCAAGCCCCTTCCCCTCTCTAGCCATCTATAAAACGTGCATATCAGCCAGGCATGATAGCTCATGCCTGGAATTTCAGCACTTTGGGAGGCCGAGGTGGGAGGATCACAGAGCCCAGGAGTTCAAGACCAACCTGGGCAACATAGGGCGACCCTGTCTCTACAAATAATTTTTAAAATTAGCCTGGCATGGTGGTGCACACCTGTAGTCCCAGCTATTCAGGAGGCTGAAGTAGGAGGATTGCCTGAGCCAGGAGGCAGAGACTGCAGTGAGCCATGATTGTACTACTGAACTCCAGCCTGGGTCACAGAGTGAGACTTTGTCTCAAAAAAAAAAAAAAAAAAAAAAAAGAAGTCTTTCTTTTTTTTTTATTTTTTATTTTTTTTGAGATGAAGTCTCGTTCGGTCGCCCAGGCTGGAGTGCAGTGGCGCGATCTCGGCTCACTACAACCTCCTTCTCCCAGGTTCAAGCCATTCTCCTGCCTCAGCCTCCCAAGTAGCTGGGATTACAAACATCTGCCACCACACCCAGCTAATTTTTTGTATTTTTAGTAGAAACGGGGTTTCACCATCTTGGCCAGGCTGGTCTTGAACTCCTGACTTCGTGATTTGCCCACTTCAGCCTCCCAAAGTGCTGGGATTACAGGCATGAGCCACCACACCCAGCCAAAAAGCCTGCCTTCCTCTCTCTCTCTCTCTCTCTCTCTCTCTCTTTCTCTCTCTCTCTCAGTGTGTATTTTGAGATGGAGTTTTGCTCTTGTTGCCCAGGCTGGAGTGCAATGGCACAATCTCAGCTCATTGCAACCTCCAACTCTTGGGTTCAAGTGATTCTCTTGCCTCAGCCTCCTGAGTAGCTGGGACTACAGGCATGCACCACCATGCCCAACTAATTTTTGTATTTTTAGTAGAGATGGGGTTTCAACATGTTGCCCAGTCTGGTCTCAAACTCCTGACCTCAGGTCATCCACTTGCCTGGGCCTCCCAAAGTGCTGGGATTACAGGCACCCTGCTAAAAAGAACTAACTTTCTTTCCTTCTTTCTTTCCTTCCTTCCTTCTTCTTTTTTTTTTTTTTTTTTTTTTGAGACGGAGTCTTGCTCTGTCGCCCAGGCTGGAGTGCAGTGGCATGATCTCCCCTCACTGCAAGCTCCGCCTCCTGGGTTTACGCCATTCTCCTGGCTCAGCCTCCCGAGTAGCTGGGACTACAGGCGCCCACCACCTCGCCCGGCTAGTTTTTTGTATTTTTTTTTTTTTAGTAGAGACGGGGTTTCACCGTGTTAGCCAGGATGGTCTCGATCTCCTGACCTCGTGATCCGCCCGTCTCGGCCTCCCAAAGTGCTGGGATTACAGGCTTGAGCCACTGTGCCCGGCCAATATTTTTAATAGAGACAGGGTTTCACCATTTGGCCAGGCTGGTCTCAAACTCCTGACCTCAGGTCATCCACCCGCTTCGGCCTCCCAAAGTGCTGGAATTACAGGGGTGAGCCAACGTGCCTGGCCGGGATCTAGATCTTATCGGGCTGCCCTGAGGCCTTCAGAACACACATCAGGTGAAATGTTTGGCGCTGACCCTGGCACAGAGTAAAAGCTTAGGGATGGGGGGAGAGAAAGGGTGGGAGGTTTTCCTGTGCAACCTAAGGAACTTCACTTTGGTCCTGGCCTGAATGATCAGGTCCTGTCCAGCTGTCCCCAGATTTATATCCTAACTGTCCCCTCTACGCTTGCTCACCCTCCAGGGCCTGTTCTTTCCCCCACCCCCAGCAGGGCCTTTACACTAACTGTTCCTTCAGCCCAATACCCATACCAGCATGCGAGCAGAGTTTTCGTGTCTTTACCCTCCGTAAAGACAAGGTTGTTTGCTGAATTCACGTATGTATCTCCAGTGCCTAGTACAACAAAAGTTTGTTGAGCAAATACATGGGTGGAATAGATCAGGAAAGAATAACAGTTGTGTCATTACAAAACTTACCATAAACAGACACGATTGCTAGTGCCATGCCAAGCCATGTTGGGAACTTAGGCAAAAGGAAAAGTCAGAAAGGCTGGTTCTGCCTTTATTGACATTTTTGATATTTTGTTAATTGTGGATTTTGGCATACATTTTGATTTCTTAAAACATAGCACTGATTTTTTTTTTTTTTTTTTTGAGACAGAGTCTTGCTCTGTCACCTAGGCTGGAGTGCAGTGGTGCAATCATAGCTTACTGCAGCCTCGACCTCCTGGCCTCAAGTGATCCTCTCACCTCAGCCTCCCAAGTAGCTGGAACCACAGGTGCCATTCTCTCTCTCTCTCTCTCTCTCCCCTCCAACCCCTCTCTCTCTCTCTCCTCCCCCTCTCTCTCAGAAACGGGGTCTCACTGTGTTGCCCAGGCTCATCTTGAACTCCTCAAGTGATCCTCCCACCTTTGCCTCCCGAAGTGCTCAATGGCATGAGCCATTGCACCTGGCCTGAAATACTATTTATCTTGATTATTGAGTTTTTTGGTGTTCCTTTAAATTTTGCACCTGAGGCCAGTGCCTCACTCAAGTCATTAGCGCCTGCCCTGATTATTTCCAACATGCAATCCACACCATATCATTAATTCCTCATCAAACGCTCTACTATTACCACTTTACAGTTGCAAAAAGTGAGGCACAACTGTGCCCAATGTCCCAAAGGAACGAGAAGAAAAATCTGAATTTGAACCCCAGCTTCTTCGTTTTTTGGTTCAGAGCCTGCCCAGTATAGCACTACAATAAGCTGAATTTTATAAGTTGGGTTTTGAGTCAAGGAATCAAAATCTTCAGGCTTAAGTCCCATCTCTGCCCCAGAGTCTTCTGAGTCCTCCATTTTCACAGACGTCAGTTGCCCTAGGTGGAACTGGACTTTAATATTCTCAACATCCCTTATTTTTCCCAAAACAGTTTACCAGCTTTTTCTTTCCTGAACCAGGAGTAATCGCAAAAATTGGGAATGCAAAGAAACAGGTACCAGCCCGGACACCTGAACCAACTTGGAGCTCAGGAACCCAGGAGGGGATTGGAGAGAGTGCGGAGACTCCGTGGTCCACAATGAATGCTCCTTCCCCATCCAAAAAAAAAAAAAAATCCCCTAGCCCAGTTTTTGGGCAGATGCCAGACTTTTATTCTGAAGCGTGGGCCACAACCTATGAGGTAATCTTTGGAGCTTCATTCTGAGGCGGAATCCCATTGGCCAGTTGGGGAAGCCCCTCCCAGGATTCCTGGCGCTCCGCCTTCCCCGAAGCCTATAAAAGCACAGATCCCCGCCTCGGCAGCCACGAGACACCTGCATCTGCCAACAAGACTGGAAGCAGGTGAGGCACACAGAGGGGGAGGCCCACAGCTGCGTGGGAGGAGGGGTGGTCTGAGGGACATGGGATGCCGGGAATTAGGCTGGTTTGCAGGTCGGCGCATGGACATTTTCCCAGGAACGGACAGAGACGGCGAAGTTTGACGGTCTGGAAAGCAGAGATCAGCGGGGCTGACTGCTTGGGAGGTAAGTTCTGGGGACGTGGTACAGGGTGAGGAGCAGGTATCAGTGCTAGTTGCGACCCCTCCGTGTCTCCCCCTCCCAATGCCATTCTGAAGCTCCCCAGAAAGAAGCTAGGAGGGGAAATAAATTGAGTGGGGGTGGGGTTTCCCAAGAATCGGGGGAACCGAGAACGAAGAGGGGTGGGGGAACCGGGAAAGAGAGAGAGGAAAATCAAGTTTTCTTCAGCACGAGGGACAGCTCTCCCCCGACCGAAGGAGGAGAATGCTATTTATTTCAGCACCAAGTATCCGGACAGCGCCTCTCGGGGGTTCCAAGGAGAGAACCGCGATCTGTTTCAGCACCGGGGCTCAGGACAGTTCCCAGAAGGCTCCGTTTCGGCGCCAGAACCCTGGACAGCTCCCCCAGGTAACGCGAGAGCCCTTTGACCCTGATTTTGCAGGAGGAGGACGAGAGAGGGTGGTGTGAGGTGCCTGGCATTTCTGGAGACCTGCCCCTCATGTAATGGATCTTTAAACAAAGTACTTTCCAGATAAGCACACACAGAAGTCTGCAATTTTCTTTTTTTTTTTATTCGAGACGGCGTCTTGCTCTGTTGCCCAGGCTGGGGTGCAGTGGCACGATCTCGGCTCACTGCAACCTCTGCCTCCCGGGTTCAAGGGATTCTGCTGCCTCAGACTCCCGAGTATCTGGGATTACAGGTACCGCCACCACTCCTGGCTAATTTTTGTATTCTTAGTAGAGACGGGGTTTCACCATGTTGGCCAGGCTGGTCTCAAACTCTTGACCTCGTGATCCGCCCACCTCAGCCTCCCAAAGTGCTGGGATTATAGGTGTGAGTCACCGCACCTGACCCAAGTCCGGAACTTTCAACAGGTAAGATGCCTCACTGGGGTAACAGGTGCCTGCTAAGATGACATTATGGTGTCCCTTCCAGACTTCAGTGAGGAACCTTGTGCCAAGCATTGTACATACAGCATATCATGCCATCTTCAACCCTAGGACATGGGTGTTACTGTGCCCAGGTGACATTTGGGGAACCCAAGGCCCCGAAAAAGGCAGAAAAATAACCCACGCAGGGACTCTCAGCCCACAAGTGAAGCTGTAAGTCAACCCCATCCGTCCAACTCTAAATCCCATGTCTCTGACGTGCCTGGGTGGGAGTTGGGCCCTTGGAGATCAGACCCTGCCTCTCTCCAGGAGAACCGGGAATGGAAAACAGGGAGGCAGCACAGAGGCAGGAAGCCCAGGTGTCACAGCTTGGCTCAGGTGAGAAGGAGGAGCTGGGCAGCGATCTCAGACATGGGGCAGGGGGTGGTGAAGAAGATTAGAGTGGCTATGGTCTAGTGCTGTGTGGAAGACTAGTGATTTTGTTGTTCTGATGTGCTACGACAACAAATCACAGCCGGCCTCATAGCGCAGACTCCCTTCGACCTTCGCCTTAAATGGGCTGGCCCGTGGGGGAGAACCGGGGAGGTCGGGGAGGAATTGTTTCCACTTGGAGTGGGGGCTGGCTCACTCCAGGGGATACAGGCACAGGCAAGGGAGGGAAGCAAACAAGGACATACATCCTGTGCTCATACAGCCACGGACCATGTATGGGGTTGGTCACATCACTCGGACGCCCCCACAAGCCTGGAGATAGAAAATACCTGACTCTAAACCCAAGACCTCTAACCACCTCATGGCGCTTTCCCGGGGAACTCAATGAGGGAATGGCGTTTAAAGCCCTCCATAGACCAGGGTTCTCAGGGTACTTTTCTATTAAAAAAAAAATTTTTTTTTGGCTGGTTGTGGTGGCTCATGCCTGTAATCCCAGCACTTTGGGAGGCTGAGGCAGGTGAACCACTTGAGGCCAGGAATTCAAGACCAGCCTGGACAACATGGTGAAACTCCATTTCTCCTAAAAATATAAAAATTGGGCGTTGTGGATCACGCCTGTAGTCCCAGCTACTCTGGAGGCTGAGGCATAAGAATCCCTTGAACCCAGGAGGCAGAGGCTGCATGACCAAGTTTGCACCACTACACTCCAGCCTGGACAACAGAGAGAGATTCTGTCTCAAAAAACATTTTTTTTTTTTTTTGGAAAGACATGGTCTCCTGCCTCAGCCTCTCAAAGTGCCAGGATTACAGGTGTGAGCCACCGAACCCAGCCTAAGGGTACTTTTCAATAAAAGTTCCAGAAGTGGGCTGGGTGTGGGAGCTCACACCTGTAATCCTAACATTCTGGGAGGATGAGATGGGAGGATTGCTTGAGCACAGGAGTTTGAGACCAGCCTGGGCAATATAGTGAGACCCCGTCTCTACAAAAAATGTTTTTTTGTTTTGTTTTGTTTTGTTTTTGTTTTGTTTTTAATTGGCTGGGTGAGGTGACACATGCCTGTAGTCCCAGCTACTTGGGAGGTGCGAGGAACACTTGAGCCTGGGAGGTCAAGGCTGCAGTGAGCCGTGACTGCACCGCTGCACTCCAGACTGGGCAACAGAACAACACCCTGTATCAAAAAAAAAAAAAAAGTTTCAGAAAAGATTATTTTCCTGTCTGCTACCCATCAGTGTCATGGGCCGATCATAGGACAAGTGTGAACTTGTGCCCGGTGGTGACTTAGGACATCATAAAGGCTCACCTCTTTTACCAGGTGTGATGGCTCACACTTGTAATCCCAGCACTTTGGGAGGCCAAGGTGGGAGAATAGCTTGAGCTCAGGAGTTCGAGACCAGCCTGGGCAACATAGCAAGACCTCATCTCAATAAAAAAATAAATAATAAATAAAAAAGACTCACCCCCAATTCTCTGCAACACCCTAATCGAGTGACAAACTCCACATGGTACCTGTTCTCCAGCCTCAGGGCTTTTGCCTTTGCTGTTCCTGCAGCTTGGACTCCCCCCACCTCCACCCAGAGCTCCCCACAACTGACCCTGCCTTCTTCTGCAAGCTCCATTTCATCAAAGGAAATGATCCTTATTACCTCACCATTGCCCACGTGAAGTCTGTATTGACATTCTCATAGACCTAGGATATTGTGTCTACAGCACATAGTCCAGTTATTTTCATGTTATCTACTGACAGGTCTATTTGTCTCCCTGTTACACTGTGAGCTCCGTGAGGACAGAAACAATGTTTGTATTTTCACTGCTGTATCCCCAGTGCCTGGTCCAGGGCCCGGCACACAGCAGGCGTACAATAAGCATGTGTTGAATCAATAAAGGCATCAAAGAATAAACCAATACATCAATCAATAAATGAATGAATGGCCTCAGCAAACACAGGAAGATCCTTCTTCTAGGTCTCCCCCAGAGAGATACCGGAGAGCGATGGTTGCTGCAGGTGTTTATTGGGGAAGCATAATTGAATTTGTGGACACTTAAGGGCCGGCCAGCCAACTCATAGCCCCAAGAGAGAGAGCCAGGCTCATTTAATTAGCAATTACAAGGCATTGATTCCTTATTCGCTCTGGCAACCCTTGTCTCCCTCCTCAGCCCCAGACAAATGAAATCTTTCTCTCTCTCCCAGGAGGACTGCCTCAGTGGGTCTATTAACAAGCAGAGAAAATGAGATTAGAAGACACCTAAATGCCAGAGGCACTTTATGAATGGGCTGAGCAGAGGGAGGTTCAATGTCTGGGTTAGGTCTAATTGTGGGAGTTTTCCTGGACTATTTAGAATTGCCCCCTGGGAATGCAAGGTCTTTCAGAAAGGAAAAGGCACACAGATATTGCCTTTTGGGGTCCTCAGTGGAGGAGGGCATTCTACTATGGGTGTCTCCCAATCACCACAAATTAATCATTTCAAACTGAACACTCAATCTTCTCAGCCCCCAGCTTCCTCCCGCAATGTGCCCATGAATATGACAGTCCTCCTACATGCCCAAGACCCTCCTCTCCTCATCCACTCCCCGTGGTCCCCAAGATGAGTCACTGTGCTCAAGTCCATCCTCTCTCCTCCAGCCCTCCGCCTCCATGACCTCCACCTCACTGCACGTCCCAATCTCCTCACTGTCTCCCCTCCCAGCATACGCACACATGCAGCCTGTTCATTCTCTACACGCAGCGAGAGGACTTTCCAGAACACACATCTGACCAAGTTCCACTCCTGCCTGTCACACTTCCAAGAGCCCTACTGACTGCAGAATAACATTCAAATATCTGGTCGGGAGTGGTGACCACTTTGGGAGGCCAAGGCGGGTGGATCACTTGCACAGGACCACAGACGTGTGCCACCACACCCAGCTAATTTTTATATTTTTTATTTTTTATTTTATATTTTTAGTAGAGATGGAGTTTCACCATGTTGGCCAGGCTGGTCTTGAACTCCTGACCTCAAGTGATCCACCCGCCTCAGCCTCCCAAAGTGCTGGGATTACAGGCATGAGTCACCGCACCGGCCTAATTTTTTTTCAGAGCCTCGCTCTGTTGCCGAGGCTGGAGTGCAGTGGCACCATCTCGGTTCACTGCAACCTCTGCCTCCTGGTTTCAAGCGATTCTCTTGGCTCAGCCTCTCGAGCAGCTGGGATTATAGGCATGCACCACCACACCCAGCTAATTTTTGTATTTTTAGTAGAGGTGGGGGTCCTGCCGTTTTGGCACAGTTGGTCTTGAACTCCTAACCTCAAGTGATCCGCCCACCTCGGCTTCCCAAAGTGCTGGGATTACAGGCACGAGCCACGGTGCCTGGCCCTTATCCTTCTCCCTCCCTCCCTCCCTCCCTTCCTTCCTTCCTTCCTTCCTTCCTTCCTTCCTTTCTTCCTTCCCTCCCTCCCTCCCTCCTTCCCTCTTTCTCTCTCTCTCTCTCTCTCTCTCTCTCTCTCTCTCTCTCTCTCTCTCTCTTTCTGACAGAGTTTTGCTCTTGGTTGCCCAGGCTGGAGTGCAATGGCATGATCTCAGCTCACCACAACCTCCACCTCCCGGGTTCAAGCGATTCTCCTGCCTCAGCCTCCCGAGTAGCTGGGATTAAAGGTATGCACAACCACGCCCGGTTAATTTTGTATTTTTAGTAGAGACAGGGTTTCTCTATGTTGGTCAGGCTGCTCGTGAACTCCAGACCTCAGGTGATCTGCTCACCTCGGCCTCCCAAAGTGCTGGGATTATAGACGTGAGCCACCGCACCCGGTCGGCCCTTATTGATTCTTATTAAAGCCACACTCACCTTTTATTTCCCCCCAAAGACCCCTGGGAGCCCTCAGTTTTTCCTGGCAGTTTCATCTTCGTACCCTCCTCCTCCTCACACACATGCCTAGCTCAGTGCTGGCATCCAGTATTCACTTTGGGTATAAATGCTTGTGCCTGAACCCATCACCTTCATCAGACACAGAATCCTGGAGGCCACACACCCCTGTAAAGATGAGCCATCAGCCGGGCGCGGTGGCTCAAGCCTGTAATCCCAGCACTTTGGGAGGCTGAGACGGGCGGATCATGAGGTCAGGAGATCGAGACCATCCTGGCTAACATGGTGAAACCACGTCTCTACTAAAAAAATACAAAAAAACTAGCCAGGCGAGGTGGCGGGCGCCTGTAGTCCCAGCTACTCGGGAGGCTGAAGCAGGAGAATGGCGTGAACCCGGGAGGCGGAGCTTGCAGTGAGCTGAGATCTGGCCACTGCACTCCAGCCTGGGCGACAGAGCGAGACTCAGTCTCAAAAAAAAAAAAAAAAAAAGATGATCCATCACCCACGGAGGCCCCACCAACTTACCACCTTCTCCCAGCCACCCCCAAGGACCCAACTTGCAGCTGCCTACCCAATGGCTTTAGAAACTAAAAAAGGTGAATGAGTTTCCATCCCTGACCTCCTGGGCTTTGCTGTTATGGCTGGTTAACTTGACGGAAGAACACATTATACTTCATTTCGTGCTGTTGTCTTGTTGGAAAAAAAAGTGGCAGCTGGGTGCAGTGGTGCACATTGTAGTCACAGCCACTTAGGAGGAGAATTGCTTGAGCACAGGAGTCAGAGGCTACACTGAGCTATGATCGCCCCCCTACACTCCAACCTGAGCAACAGAACAAGACTCTCTTAAAAAATATGTGAGAGGCCGCGTGCAGTGGCTCACGTCTGTAATCCCAGCACTTTGGGAGGCTGAGGCAGGCGGATCACGAGGTCAAGAGATCAAGACTATCCTGGCTAACACGATGAAATCCCGTCTCTACTAAAAATACAAAAATTAGCCGGGCATGGTAGTGGGCACCTGTAGTCCCAGCTACTCGGGAGGCTGAGGCAGGAGAATGGCATGAACCCAGGAGGCGGAGCTTGCAGTGAGCCGAGATCGCACCACGGCACTCCAGCCTGGGCGATAGAGCGAGACTCCGTCTCAGAAAAAAAAAAAAAAGTGAGAGAGATCCCCTTCTACCCCGGCCATAGAGCAATTAAATTATGATTGTAATCACCCAGAGTTAAGTGTCAGAATCCACAGGTTAGCCAGGTGCAATGTCTCATGTCCTGTCATCCCAGTTGCCCAGGAGGCTGAGGTGGGAAGATGGCTTGAGGCCAGGAGTTTCAGGCCAGTTTGAGTCTTACTATGTTGCTCACAACCCTCTCTTAAAAAAGAAAGGGGAGGCTGGGCATGGTGGCTCATGCCTGTAATTCCAGCACTTTGGGAGGCCAAGGCAGGTGGATCACCTGAGGTCAGGAGTTTGAGACCAGCCTGGCCAACATAGTGAAACCTGGATCTATTAAAAATACAAAAATTAAGGCCGGGTGCGGTGGCTCATGCCTGTAATCCCAGCACTTTGGGAGGCTGATGAAACCTTGTCTCTATTAAAAATATAAAAAATTAGCCGGGCATGGTGGGAGGTGCCTGTGGTCCCAGCTGCTGCGGAGACTGAGGCAGAAGAATGGCATAAACCCAGGAGACGGAGCTTGCAGTGAGCTGAGACGGCGCCACTGCACTCCAGCCTGGGCGACAGAGCGAGATTCCATCTCAAAAAAAAAAAAAAAAATATTAGCCAAGGGTGGTGGCACATACCTGTAATCCCAGCTACTTGAGAGGCTGCGGTGGGAGGATTGCTTGAACCAGGAAGGCAGAGGTTACAGTGAGCCAAGATTGTGCCCCTGCGCCCTGGCCTGAGCAACAGCGAGACTCTGCTTCAAAAAAAAAAAAGAAAAAAAGAAAAAAAAAAGCAGTTACTCCTCATTCTTCTTCCCACACTCCAGACCCTGGCAACTATTTACCTGATTTCTGTCTCTCTGGATTGGCCTGTTCTGGACATGTCATAGAAATGGGATCACACACTGTGTAGCCTTTTGTGTCTGGCTTCTCTCACCTGAGCCTGACGTCCTCAAGGTTCTTGCTGTAGCCTGTGTTAGAGCCTCATTGCTTTTCATGGCTGAGTCATATTTCCGTTGCATGGATATACCACATTTTCCTTATTCAGACACTGTTCATGGCTTTAGACACATGATCTCCTGCGAGGTTGGTAGTCTTATTGCACCCTGTTTTGCAGGAGAGGAAACTGAGGCCCAGAGAGGTCAAGCAAGCTGCTTGAGGTTACACAGCTGCTGGTGGTGTAGCCAGGATTCCAATCCAGGCAGTTTCATCTAGGGTCTGCAAGTTGAACCCCTACCTTCTACCCCTCTAACAGTTCAGTATTCAGAAACAATGTAGCAATTATTATCATTTTTTTAAAGATGGAGTCTCACTCTGCTGCCCAGGCTGGAGTGCAATGGTGTAATCTCGGCCCACTGGAACTTCTGCCAACTGGGTTCAAGCGATTATCCTGCCTCAGCCTCCCGAGTAGCTGGGATTACAGGCACCCATCATCAGGCTCAGCTAATTTTTGTATTTTTAATAGAGACGAGGTTTCACCATGTTGACCAGGCTGGTCTTGAACTGCTGACCTCGAGTGATCTGTCTGCCTTGGCCTCCCAAAGTTCTGGGATTATGGGCGTGAACCACCATGCCCAGCCCAATCCAGGCAGTTTGATGCACAGTCTGCAAGTTGAACCCCTACCTTCCACCCCTCTAACAGTTTGGTATTCAGAGACAATGTGGCAATTATAATGTATCTCTCTGTCATTTTCCCAGGAAAGGATGCCAAGAGGCAGACAGGAGCTTGTGGCGGTCACCCAGCGAATCGTCCCCAGCTAGGGCTGGAACTGAAGACTCAGGCTTGGGGATGAGTCAGTTCAGAAACCTTGAGGGTCTTCTCTGACGCCTGCCTGGCTCCCTTGCGTATGTTTTGGAGAAGTTTTTTGTAGGGAGGCAAGTGAGGGAAGAGGGCAGAACTAAAACGCTGCAATATTCAAG